AATAATTCGATAATATTATTTAATATTATTATGATTACTAATAGCCATGGCTTATCAGATCACTTTAAGGTTTGACCGGGGAACAGACGGTAAATAGACACACCGATCTATGAGCAAGTCATTTTCTATATGTTTGTGCACAAATGTATTTCGTTCAAAGCGCCAAAACTTCACAAGGAAAATAAGAAACAGGACAAGAGCAAGGCGCACTCGTAACTAAGATTTATTATAAACCCATTTCTTATACACTCGTGGTAAAGAACATAGTGACTCCTATATCCGGTGCAGCCCCTTTCGCAAGGAAAGCGCACTCAAATGTCCAGCGTAGCTCCCTAGATATCCGATCGGAATTCTTAGCCAAAATTCTTGTGTCAACAAATGACGGTGTACATGTGCGACGGCTGTAGTGTATAACTGCCGCACACAAGCAGGGCGAGAGGAACCGGTGCTCCAGGTAGTCTTGCACTTTGGTGAGCTTCGCGATTTTTTGGAATCGTGTTTGTTATAAAATATAAGAGGTTTAGGTGAATGGCTTTGATGAAATGCCCATGTGAAACTGAATACGGTTGTATTGTTGTTCTACGTGTTCTAACTGTGCATTGTATTTATTTATATAATTTATTTAAAAAAACGCCTGAAGTACCGAATCATTATAAGCAGCTACACCCTAGAATTAATAAAAACAAAAATATCTCGTTTGTGAAGCATCTTTCTTCTTATTCATTCGTTTCAGCGGTGCTAGAACGGTATATCTCTAAAGGAGTCGCGGCATCGGAGAATTTCATTGTTCATTTGGCTCACAATTCTACGACAGCGTGCTCCCGCATTGCTATCCGCATGGTGAAAAGACCATCAGAAGCGCTGCGAACAGCAAGAACTCTTCTGATTTGGGTCCTCTGCCAGAGCGTGCAAACTCTTATCGCGAGCCTGCCACGTGCGATGAAGAAGTTGATCTTTTGTGCCGCACTAAAAGAAGGGAGGTCTTTCTAAAAACACATGCCGGTCACTCTAAAAAAAAAAACATTTTGTGGCACTCCCCCCCCCCCCCCCTTTATTTAGAAACCCGCCTTGTTTGTGTCCTCAAGTAATTTGTTTATGTTACTTTTCTTGGGGAGAGCGGTGGTTGGCAGGTTTCTAAACGTACATGTTCAGTGCATCGCGGATCTGCCACTCAGCTCTTGAAGCGTTGAGCTATTATTTAGAGAGACAGTATTTGTAAATTGATATACGGGAAATACCCTGAAATATATAATTGTTAGGCGAATATTGCATGCACAATAAACAAGCCCTTGAAGCGCGTAATGAAATGAGGCTCCCTATTTCCCTATGATTTTTGACAAACAGCGGAGGTTATGTCCAACTCAAATATTAAATGTTAGGTAATACATGTATTATGGTCGATTCAATGTCACCACACATTTCCTCGTATTTGTTTTTTCTTGTACATGCGTTAGTTTCGTGGATAAGTTATAGTTTACTGCGGAACCTAGGGTTTCGCCCTTCAGCAAGGTCAGAGTGATTGAAAGTGTCGCTGGTATCATCACCCTCCCCTCGTGTCAAAAAGTGCTGATTGGGGTGCTTCTTTCGGTTTTTTGCTCCGGTGCTAGCGAATGTGTCTTTGTGTTTCAGATAAGAGCATTACTTGTGCCACGTTGGCTTTTTTTTTTAAGCTAGGTGGCGAAAGAATTGGTTACCAGGGCGCTGATAATGTCAGAGCCTCATCGTGGTTGCTTTGTCACGAGACGCAAACAAGGAGCGTTAAATATAAATGTTACTATTACGACAGCTCTAAAAATTATTAAGCTTAAAATTAGGCGTCGTATCGATATTTCATATGAAGGGTACTCTTACCGTTGCAACATTCGTGCCATGGGCCGTTTAAGACAATGGTCGGTGATGCAGACAAAACCTCGTATATTAATGGAGTAGCCGTTGCAAAGAGGAAAAGAAGGCAGCTCGTTTTCATAATATGAAAATAGGTCTTAAAAGGCTAGTGTGGCGGCTATGTCCACATGTTTCCAGTCAGCCCAAGTTGAAGAACTTCGGAAGCAATCGATTCACTCCGCCGAGCGCCCTCGCTGCACGTCGCACTTCTGCCTCTACATATCTGGGGCCCACATGCGCCTGAATAGAAGGCGGGAGCATTCTACATGGACTTCCTTTATTGAGTCCCGAAAGCCCCCAGATGAGGGCTACGAACATCTGTAGAGTCGAAGTCGCCCTAAAATAAAAACGACTATCACTAGCAGAGAGTTGGAATGCTTTTCTGGCCGACATCTTTGACTGATTACTAAAGTGAGGTTTCTACTGTGATCTAAATCTTGCGGGACTTGTTTTATTATTATTTTCGGCGGTTTCTTCTTGCAGCTGTGCACACATTGTTGTTAAACGACACCCAAAGTATATTTTAGTGGCACATTCCACTAAGAGCATACTTTAAACGTACGAAAACTGTACGTGCAAAACTGTACTGAAAATGCATACTCAAGTACAAGTCTAAGACATGTACTTGAGTTGTGTTGAGGCTGTACTATCAATGTAACTAAAACAGACTATTGAAATCTATTTATAGCGTACGTTTGCAAAAATATACTACAAATTTACTTGAAGGGCTCTTTAAAGTAACATTAACTCCTGTCTAAGTTAAATTGGAGTGCATCACAATTGAAGCTGCACGGTATTTAAAGTGTAGTGAATATTTACTAATGAACTCTAGGAAACTGCTCGCCAAGTGTTCAGGGTACACACTACATCAATAAACGAAGCATTTGCGTTGATTGTGGAATTGCTCAGCAGCTCAAGTTGTGGGACGTCACTTCATATAATGAGATGTGCTAATTACTTACGTAATTTTAACGCTTTAAAATTAGAGCAAGTCGTAACGCAATATGAATTCTTTTGTACTCAACATACATTGATAAAACAAGTTCAATGTTTGTTTAAGACGTTTTTACATATTAAGCAAGCACATGAGCTAAAATATCTCAAAGCCGGATAGTCCAATATATTTTAATTGCTACCGATCTGGCATGTGTTTGAAAGCAAACGGATAAAAAAAAAATAGATTATATCTGGCACGTTTTGAGGATTATAGTGTATAACCTTTAAAATCACTCCGACGTTTTTTCTCTTTTTTTTTTAATAGTGATATTCAGTGTCGGCGTTAGAAAACACGTGACACAAAGTGAAACGAAATAAACAAAGAAAAATGAATATAAAAACACAGATGCTACCATTTAACCGTGTCTCAGTACATTAGCACAGCACATCACAGTATGTGGGTGCAAAAATACGTATCACATTAGATACAAATACTTAGGCTCGAGCGTTTTGAAAACTGTAATGACGCTGGATCTGGTGGTACTTTTTTACGTTGTTTTTTGGTCTCAGAGTTGAAATAATCGTCTTCCTCGCCCGCCAAAGGAGGGCTCCGTGTTGGCACAAAAATACCTGATTGTTATTGCTCATACACAGACAACTCGACTTTCATGCATGTCTCATTCAAGATACCTTGCATCGCTGCTTTTGTCAAGACTGTGCTACTTCTTTTTAGATATTCCGAATTGTTCACTGATCCTGCTGAGGCACCATGCAAAAATATGTAGCCTCACGCGAAAATAAAGCCTATCCAACTTACCCTCGGCCTTCAAAGGCGTAGTGCGACATAGACATCAGGCTAGCGGAATGGTGTGCTTGGCATAAATCAGAAGCAAACCTCGTTGTTTTCACGACCATTCAGCATTTCCGAGGCTCCGGGCTGCCGGAACTGCAGCGCGGTTTGTGTACCTTAATTTAATTTTTTTTTTTTTGTGCAGACTATGTTGTATCCGTCTGTTTGTGGGGTGCTTAGTGCAAGACAGCATCTCCCGAGTTACTTTTTCTTTAATGCGTGTTTTGAAGACATTGGCACTGTCTGCGCGAGCCCCGACGCCGGTACGTTTCGGGCAAGCCACTTTAACTGCAGGGGTGATTCGTGCCTACATTAGTGTCGGAGAGATTCTATACATGATGGGCGTCAAACACTCCCCGATATTTCTCACTCCTTGCCTGCCAAAATAGTAATCATACCTGAAAAAGGCTCGAGGTACACCTAAGCAGTTCCTATCAGTTGTGACTGCAAAAGCATGCACACCGCTCCTCTGCGGCGTACTTGCGCAATACCGCCCTGGCTGTCCTCAGCGCACTGACCTTGGCGTGGAGCGGTGGAGCCGCTGCCTCGCGGTCACGAAGCGCCATGGGGTGGCGGTCGTTAAAACGGACGCGCAGCGGCCAACGGGAGCCTCGTCGACGAGCGCCAGCCAATGGGACCGAAGCCGAAATCCATCAGCTTTACTCCGCTTCTTTGGGATGGGGGAAACTAGGTGCCGTTTGGCTAAGCTTTCCGCGTGGTTTCATAGCTGGGAGCTGGATTCACTTGGAGAAAGGATTTAAGGTGCCGTTTGGCGCGGCTTCAAAGCTGAGGACGTCGGCTCGCTTCATGGCACAGTTAATGCTTTCGCATTAAAATGACCACTAAGGAAGCATATTGATCCGACGGGAGCGCTAGGCACCCTCCAACAAGACCACAAGGTTCAACCCACCGGAGCGAGCCAAGGAAAAACAAACAAAAAGAAAGACGAAGCACACCCCTGCCACGGCGCCGAACGGCGAGCGTGACGGTGGTGAGCAGGCGAGCTTTGCTTTCTTCGATTATTTTCAGACGTGCCATACCTGCAGTTTCAAGTGATGGTTAACCACCGAGCAAATTAATAGGTATCTTCGAAGACGTTTTGTGCTGCGAGGTTTTGCCTAATATCACCAGAAAGGTTCTTGCCCTGTGTGGGCGCACCTTAATATGATACTCTCTTTTTGAAACAAAGTTAGAAGTAGTTCGAAATGTAACAGAATATGTGGCGTAGTAATATTTCTTTTTATGTGGTTCCCATAACGGTTATCATCTGGAAAAAAATCTGACTGAGGGATAAACGAGACCGCCAGGTTGTGTAACAACGGTGACTCACGGTTCCATGGTCGTCCAAGGCAAAAGCAGGACTCGAGCCGCTTTGCAGGAACAGGAAAGCAATTAAGATCGTCAGCTGCAAAAAAAAAAAAAAAAAAAAAAAAGAGCCAAGACAGTCAGGGGTGATGTTATCAACACAACATAGCGTAATTACATATCAGACAATAATAAAATAGGATCATTTGAGAAGTAAAGAATAATGTATAGTTTCACCTTAAGTTTAGACGCAGCCGACTCTACGAGCTGATGAGACCAATCAGGCAGCGACAAAAACGCGCCGTCATGGCGCTCTTTCATGGTTGAACCAATAATAAAAAGAAAAGGCCTAGTGACTTTTGACTCTGCTTCAGTGATTCATTAGCTCGTAGCGTCGGCTCCACCTGGAGTTCAGCTGAAAACGAGTCTGTAAGTTGTTTCATCAAAGGCCACAGCAGATATAGTGAAAGTTTCAGCGTATTCACTCGTTGTATTGGTTAAACCGATTATACCGCAAAGAATGGTTACAAAAGCCGTGACTTCGGGCGCTGTTTCATTAGCCCTATAAACTAGTAGCTTCGACTGTACTTTATACGTGAGATATGCTTTCTACTCTATAAAAGCCAAAGTTACCTAATATATGCGTAACCCCCGTGTAAATGAAGGCATACTTCTTAGCATAACCCCTTCCTCGTGGCAAGAGAAGAACTTCGCACATATTTAGTCCCAGGCAGGAATTTAGTTGAAGTTTGATTTTCGCGGGACTTGCCGGCAAGCAGAGACAAATGTAATTTGTTTTGTGAAACCCTTTACTGCCCGCTATTTCCAGCATGTACACGCGATAGAGACATATAATATACACATGGAGAAAAAAAATACACCTGGCGCATTCATCCGTACTGAATATACGCCCTTCTCTAAAAACCACAACAATAAAGGTGTCCAATAGTTAAACCCAACTCGAATCCAATTCGAATCAAATAGTGTCGAATCGTTGACAAAAAGTCGAAGGTCCAATCGAATACGAATACTAAAATATATTCGCAATTTTCTCAAGATAATAAACGGGCCCGTGTTTGTACTGTGCTTAGGTTATGACTACGTCGCCTAAACACCGCAGAAACCTAGGTGAAAATGCCGAAGAATTGCTTGTTTACTGGGAACGCTAGGTCCCCCGGATCAAATTGCTACGAACCCTACGCCGGGAATCTAAGCATCAAATGTGCGTTCTTTTGCATTCAATCACGATGGTTATACACAGCACGTCATCGCTTCTTTCTAGCTGTCTACTTTTAGGTCCGCACCTTCTTCTTGCAAAGCAAGCATTCTGAAAACTGTGGCACATCCAGTAAGAGGGTGGCTCAACTATCGCTTCACATCTGTCCCCCCTCACAAAGGGCGTCCGGCTCAACAGGATCTGGGCTCAAGCATGCTGAGGGACCATTCAGAGCTTATTCCCTTCTCATTCACTTATCGCACTCCGGCGCTTACGCGTGCATTTCGTATTATGCTTCAGAATTTTTAGGGAAGGCCGAAGCAAGAAAATGCATTTAAAAAAGCCGCTCAGTAGGAAAAACAAGGCCCTACATGCTTATTGTTTTGCGGAACACATAGGAAAACAAAAGGCTAGCACGAATAAAAAGGGCCTTAATGAGCATTTTACATTATACCTAAAAGCTACGTGTGCTCATTGTGGTTCTTTGTTTATCCGGACATCATCTGTACTATTGGCCTATTACCCAGAAATTGTATATCATCGCTGATAATTTTTTAGACACAAACTAGCAGACTTTTCTGCACGCGGGCCCGATGTGTGTTGCCATGGCATTGAACAATGAAAATACGGGAATACGCGAGGCCTGGCGTATTCTTGGCTTAAGGTGAATCAGGTTCAATATGGTGGAGAAGAACATCTTCCCAATGTAGGGAATGTACAGCACTGTATTCGCTGGGGTGCTTAGTATCGTCCGCTGCGGTTCATTGTAAGATGAACCGTATTATAGACCTTCTGGGCACCCTGGCGGCTCCCCAGCCCAGTTGCCCGACTGCGGGGCACAGGTGGCGAACTTTCCCGCGTGGCGGCGGAATCAAGCCGGCCACGCGCTTATCGCGTGCGCCGCCTTGACAAGGCGGATCAGAGGCGGCGCACAGGCAGTCGCTGCCTGGACTTAGGCACCGTGGGTAACAATGTTAATCGTCTTGTCCATGTCCAATTAAATAAAAAATTTTGCTGTTGAAACCACTGGCTTCGTGTTATTCCTACGGGTTGGGTGTGCAGCAATGGCAAGCCGACCACAACCTTTCCAATAGTCACCTTCTTGTCGCTGCCATCTTTGTCTACTGGGCTGGGAAACGCGTTCCGAGCGTGCGCATTAGCTATCTTCCACGAAATGCATGCGTCCACAGCACAATGACTGGGCATTTTTGTCTTTGTGATAAGCGCTGGAAATGTCTAAAGGAGCTTAAAGGGATACTACAACGAAATTTCGGCGCTTATTTTTTGGTCTATATGTGTTCAGAGAAGCAGTTTTACATTGGACACACCAATACCTTGTTCAAAAAAACACGAAAAGGAGTTTTGAAACAAATCGAACGACTAGAAAAGAGCACCTGGTTGATGTCGCTAACGCCTCGTTTGTAATGCCCGTCTAGGAACCTTGACAGGTAATGACGGTAACTGTCTCGCCTCCGGTCACCGCGAGAGAAGAGGGGAAGGAGTAACTCCCCTCTCTCGAGAATCCCTTAGGTGTGTCCCAGAAGTCGCTATCGTCCCTCTACAAGATTATAGAACATTAACCCGTGACTCAAAACTCGTACAAAAGCAGCCGCTTCGGTGGCTGGAACGACTAGGCCATCCTCTCGACGTCAGCCTCGCCGCAGCTTTGCTCGTCCCGAGACAAACTACGTCACGATTGCGTTGGATGTCACGTGCTCTCCGCTAGCTGCTCTCCGAGTGCTTGCCAGAGTGGGCCATTTATAACAAAAAATACAGCCACCAGGCTCAAAATACAAACGCGGGATTATCATTTACGGGTATTGTGGATAATATTCAACGTATTTTTGAACACGACGGGTATATTTCAACTTTCGTTGAAGTATCCCTTTAAAGGTTCGAGATTCTGCAAGGCAGAAGCTCCTCCTTACCATGGGGGAGGAGGAAACAGGCGACGGTGGACAGGTTAGAAGGGGGAGAGGAGGAAACGAGAGAAAAAGAAAAGCGCGAACTGGCCGTCCTTCTTTAATAACGAGACGCCCGTCGGGGAGTCGGCTAGAGTCCGTTGCAACTGAAGAAGATAGGGCGAAAGTAAGACGGACCGGAGACTGGGAAGCAGACGGAACACTGGAGAAGAGAGGGGGAAACCTCTTTCTCTCTTTAGCGTTCCGTCTGCGTCCTCCTCCCCAACTCGAATTACCCTCTCTCTATCTTCTTGAGTTGCAACGGGCTATAGTGGCCTCGATTGTCACCTAAACATGAGCAAGTTATGACACTTTCGGTTCTGCGCTCGCCTCTGGGGTGGGAAGACTCGCTTCTGAGATAGGCAGATGGCCTGGCATTGTCCCGGTCTGTAATGCCCCTGAATAAGAAAGGTAGCGACATCTTCTCCCTCCTTCTCTGACGCGCACACTTCTTATCTCTATGTTTTGCTCTTTTACACCGGCGCGTCGACTATGGCGCCGTATGGATCCGTCCAAGATAGCAGACGGCCTTCCTATTCTTGGTTTACACTTGAGCCAGAGCGTGGTTTAAGGCTGAAAGACACGCAAATACATACAGACAGGCTCAAGGCGCACTGTCAAGATCTACCAGCCTCGAAGGATGTGCTCAAAGAAAGACGATGAAAGCCGTGACTTCGCACAGTCGGTGTTATTTGAATGGCGACATGACCTGATAGCATGCACCAGTGGCGTCAGAGGGGAACGAGGGCGAAAAGGGACAAACACAAATCTCCAAACACAGCTAGGTGACTGGTGCGCGACCGAAAAAATCCGCCTGGTCCGGGTATCGAACCAGGGACCTTTACATTACCAGGGACCTTTACATTTCCAGTGAACGGTTCTGTTAACTGAGCTAACCAGAAGTTAGACACCAGTAGAGCAAACGGGTCCCATAAGCTGCCACCAGTTAAACACCGCACCAGTCACGCAGCTGTCAAGCACGAGTCACCTAGCTGTGTTTTGCCATTTGTGCATGTCCTTTGTCCCCCTTGTTACCCTACTCCGGGGATTGGTATCGTCATTTACGACATATATCTTATCCCTCGTTTTTACGATCAACTGAGAATCATTTGGTGCGAGAGGTCTTAAACTTTATAAAATGAACCCGCCACATAAGCGTTGCTACAGAATGTTGGATGCAGCTGGTATATTGCAAACACTCACCAAAGCTGAAGAAAAGCAGGAAACGAAAGAAGCAAACAACGAAACGTGATTCGAGGAAAGGTCACATTGAAACACAGCGGGATTACCTCCTCTCACAAGGCTCTCCTCTCTTTCTGATTGAGCGGATGAACGCTGAGAAGCATACGAGTAATGAGAAGGAAACTACCATTCATGGGCAGTAATCAGACAGGCACTCAGAGCCCCTCCGTTGCACTATCTCACCCTCCCGGCAAAACACGCGCATTTCGGGCAGACTCCTTTTGGCTACCATGGTGGCCAGTCGTCTGTTTCCAGTATCTACGTTGTTCACAAGAGGCGATAATTTTTATATTTGGAACATTCGAGAGGATTGCTGCGGTTACATGTAAACTTTAGACATGTTCGACGTAATCTGAGCCAATTATTAAAAATATATTGGTGTATTTTAGAAAAAAAATAAAAAAGGATAAGTTTGTTCATTGTTTAATGCAAGTCAGGTTTTTTGTCTTTTTTTGTATTTCGCCAAGTTAAAGGATTATGTAAGATGAAACATATAATTTTGAATATTCCATATAGCGCAAAAGTTGCAAAAGATAAAGTTGTACCACGTTATCAGAACACTCATTTTAGTGTTGTTTTTTTTTTATTGAGAAACCTCGTTTATTCGTGTTTTAAAAAAAGTCAGCGAATTACGAAGGACGAAAAAAGCACGTGACTTTGCGCTAGCGCGTCTTGTATTGA